GAACAGATTTTCACGGGGGAGCAGAATTTCGCACAAGACCGGGTTACGCAATTTCATCACGCAAATCTGAGGAATGCGGCTCACGTCAGTGTATAAAAGCAATAACCAGTAGCTGATTTAGATACGAAACAAACTCGGACAGTTATGTATACAATTATAAGGTGTCCTATGCTGCCTATAAACACTAGAGCCATAAAATGTATGTGCGACATGCATGGATGGGGAGCCAGGACGGACAAAGACACGTACAGTATGTGACTCAGACTAGAGCCCCTGCGGATAAGAAAACTTCCCAAAGGGACACAACCGAAGCAGAGCTAGACTTTAACGTAAAGCTGACGGAGAAAAACACAAAATGAGGGAGTGGCACTGCTTTGCAACGATAGTTGCATAAAGCGGATTAGCAAGCTAACGCATTCAGCTAACACGTCTGCGATAGAAGCGATATGTCCATTATTTACAGCAAAACACTCTTTGTATAGCTTCCCTGCTACACTCGCTCGTGCGTTTAGCTCAATTACGAATGAGTCAAATAAAAATAAAACATTTTGACGCTAACAACTGGATACTGAACTTATCCAGCGAGGCAAATAAAAATAGTGAAAAAGAGCCACAGACTGTACACAGTGTGACAGTAACTTTCGCGGCGGAAAGCAATAAATTGGACTAGCTAGTTCGGAAGCTAAAAAGGTGTTTAAATTCAGCCGCACATTCCAGCTACCAGTCGTTAGAAAACGTTAGCAAAAAGCTAATAAACTCACCTAGGAAAAAGGAGTCCACACAGGTTGAGAAGTGGAATGTAATAATCCTGTCGCAGCGACCACAGCAAATGTTAAATCACAGACGGGCAATGCAGTCCAGAAAAATCAAAGCGTGAATGTGCTAGTTAGCTATGCTAATTTGCTAATCTCGCAGCATAATTGTCCCAAGTCAAATGTATCTAGCTGACTTCAAGTCTTTCCAAACTGTTCACATTACCGAGATTTGTTTCTTGTCAGTTAGGCTGGTTTGCAGCAGGGATAATAGTTTAAATCAACGCGAGGCTAGCTGAGTTGGCTACCGACTGCCAGACGTTAACTGTCACAACGGAGCTGGTTAAAAACAAGCGGCCAGCTTGCTAGCTGCTAACGTCAAAGCAGCAGCAAAGTTTCTCTCTTCGATGGGCAGTTTCCTAAAAATGGCGGCGAGAAGAATCTCCTCCCCTTATCTGAAAAGGGAGGCAAAATTATCTTTAAAACAACGGTCTGGCAGTTTTAGTAGGCTCTTGTTTAGGATGGTTGTTGGCTGCTTCTCGGAGCGTAAATAAATGTTACGTCCTCCACAAATCTCAGTCGAAGCGGCGCAGCCGGTGCGTGGTGGAGAAAGATGCACAATGAGTGTCATCACAACATTGGTCCTGGAGGTAATCAGGTGCTGAGCAGTCTCTCTCCTCAGCGTGTGTTTGGCTTTATGCACTTTCAGATACCGAGTCCCTAACCTGATTAACTGTTTCAGTCTTAAGCTGGCCTCTGACTATAAATAGCCAGTAGTCACCTCACAGACCACGATAAACACTCTTTAAATCACAGAACAGTGGAGCAGATGTTGAATCCAAACAACAGGGTCTGTCTGATGCGTTCAGGTACACAACAAAACAGTAAAAACCTATATCAGCATGCTGTTTATATTATAAAGCATGCTTTTGTAGCATATAACACCATCTGTTCTATAGTTTTTTTTTTAATTCTTACATTTAACTGATCATGATGTTTAAGCCAAAGTATGACTGTGGGAAAAAAAGGTACCGTACTTCTGAGAAAGACTGCATACATAGCTTATAATGCAGCGACAAAACACAAGGGGAAGATACAATGCGCATGGCAGCAGAGAGGTTAAAGATGGACATTCCACAACAGGCTGTAGGCTGGGCGACCAATCAGCATCCAGGAGAGGATACGCTGCGATTTGATTGGTTGCCTGGCATCGCTGTTGTCATGATGATGAGAATCGGGCTCTGTCTGTGTGGTCTGTATTCAGGCACAGAGGCAAAGGATATGGATGGATAGCCCAAATAAATGTACAGTACTGTGAAGAACTCTTGAGCCACCCCTCTCATTTTTTTTTTTAGATTTTGCATCGAAGTAACCCATTTTTTCTTAAAGTTGTCTAAAACATTTTTTACATTGACTTTTTCACAAGTATAGGTGAGCTGAACACGAGCAGCAAGTCCCAAAGTTAAAACAGAAATATTGGAGCATGATAGACTCAAGTCATTGTAGTGCTTTCAAATTCATACTGGTGGTGACTCATTAACCAGACAGTGTGGTGGTCAACAGCTACTAACAGCAGAAAACATCAAGAACTGAGGGGAGAAACAAAAAAAGTTGAGGCCCCGGTGATGTCAAGAGTCACCTGGCACTGAAACTGGAGGAATTAATTCAGCAGGTCAGCAAAGGCAGCATAAGCAAGAAATGTCTGGTCAAGAAGATAACACTTCTACAAACGGCTAAGATACTGCATAGAACCTACAACCTGCCTCTGGAATCTGGCAGAACGGTGCAGTGATCTTGTCACTGTTCTTGAAACAGAAAAAGGTTCGACTCTTTTAACTTAACCCTCACTACTTCAGCATTACACAAAGGTAAGCAGCAGTCAGGTGATGCTAATCAAAAACACAGAATTAGCTGCTCATCAGCACATATAATGAAAACAGGATGTACCTAATGTTCACATATAAGGATCAGTGAGTCTTTAGACAAAAAAAAAATCATATTACACACATTCCAGAACACAACTAAAGGTTTGGCACATCGCTAAATGTGTTAAGATCATTCCATACCTGATTTTTTGTAATGAATCAGGAAGTGTTCTTTTATGAACATTTTAGTCAATAATGCTGTTTTAATTTTAGCAATGAATTTCCTCTTATTGTCACTACTGCAACACCTTAAGAAAGTCTGCGAGTCTGCAAAGTAATGCAAAAGAAAAGGTTTTATTAATTAAACAAAACAAACATTTACTGGCATTCTTCACAGGAAGCTCATTCAAATAACACAAAGCCCAAATTACTAAAACAAATAATAAAAAAATAAGAAATGCTTGTAGAAGCTTCCATATGCAAGTTCTAACATTGGGCATGTCATTTTCCCTGTTTTAATTTCTTAGAAAATTGAAGTATGAAGAAAGAGCTACTGTTGTTGAAAACACACCTTGTTTTCATTTGAACACCAATTACATAAAAACAATAGACTTGTCAAAAATTAAAATAAATGGGGATTATAGCCACTTATGTTACATTCGCTCACAAAACCACTATCCACAGCAATGAAGACACTATTCTGACCGGTTCACACATAACATCAGGTGCTGATGGAAACTAGACAAAACTAGTCGAAAACGCACAGAACATCGTTTAAAATACACATTAATTAACATTATGTAGAGACCGACAAACTGAAACAACAAAACACGAGTATTCAGGTGTAGACAATGCTAACTGTAAAGCATCCAGCACTAAAACAAATACTGATGGAACTTAAAAAGTAATCCCCCAAAACAAAGAACAAGCAAAGGTACTTCTGAGCTCAGCATTTGTTGGTGTGACTGATCTACTGTATTTTTCAAACCATAAAGCGCACTTAAAATCCTTTAATAATCCGGTGTACCTTAGGTTTTAATTCTGGTTGATTACTGACCTCGAACAGATTTTATGTGGTACACGGCACTCAAAAATGTATATTGTTTTGTATTTTATGCGTTACACCTTAACAATGTTAAGAGTTATTGTGAATGAGTTGAATAAAGCTTAACTTGTTTTGTTTTGCTTTAATGCGCCTTCTAGTCCAAAAAATACGGTATGAAAATTTTACTTTATGCATTTTATCTCTGACCAAAATCAGTCTGGAGTAAAGGAGACATTGAAGAGAAAACAAACATCCAAGGAGATAAACTGTTGTGAAACAAAATGAGCCCCAAAACACTAATGGTTTGACAAAGAACAAAAACTATAACATTCTTCTTCTTAAGTTTCTGCAAAATCTTCAAGAACCAAATCATCTCCTGGCATTGTGGCTGTCAAAAGTAAAACATCAAAATATGTGTGGATTTTTTTTTATCAAAGGTTTCACTGAAAACCTAATGCAGCCCAACAACCTAATCTGTTACACTGTAATAAAAAGAGATTTAAAAATACAACTGCACCCACATAAAACAAAAATGTGCTAAATAATTTACGCTGTTCAATTTGAAAACTTTGCAGATGCTTATCACCATATGAAAAATAACATGGGGAAACGGCAAGAGAAACAATATACACGCAAGCCCAGGAACAAGTGAAATGAGGGGGAAAAAAAAAAGTTTCTGTTGATGATTTACCGTAAATGGTCTTAGAACAAAAACACGTTAGCATCGTGCTGGACGGGACAAACAAAACTGCCAAACAAGCATCATTTCCTGGGTGAGCAGGAGATGCCACGCCTTCGTAAGATTCCCTCAGAGTGACATGTCCATGTGAGGGCTCTTCATCCTCGAGACAATCAGCACTTTTTAACTCTCCTGACAGTTTCCAGCTGCATCTCTGCACCTTCTCCGTCTGATCTAGAGGCCAAACGCTCCAAGCCTGGGCCTTTTAACAGAAGCACCATCCACACCCTGCAACACCACCGCCTTTAATCAAATAAATGACTAGAGACATTCTCCCTCTGCTTTCACGCCATCATCTGCTTCAGATTTTAATCCTGCTTTGCAGAGTGCACACTAAACCAGGCGCAGGTTGTTGCACACATTTAACCACTCCATTTTTCCTCCTTTCTCTTCCAACCTTTTGGAGACTTAAGTCTTCCAAACCATTTAAGGGGAAGCTCGGTGATCTTAACACGTACACACACGCACACACTTCCTTACAAGAAGCAGCTCATTAACACCACCCTGCACTTCATTTGCTTGTACTATTTAAGAAGTGGTTCTTTATTATCATTTCCTCTACCCAGCTTCTCTTCCTCTTCTTCTTCCTCTGCTTTAAGTACGTCCTCTCTCCTGAGTGACAAGCAGGCTTCAGCAGTTGGGATCCTTTTTATTCCAGGTGAGTCTGGTTCAGCCCACTTTAGCCCAGCTGAGGAAAGATGGGATGTCTCTCACAGGCACGTTGCGGGTCAAAGCTTTGACTCGCAGGTTGCGGTCATCTGTGAGGAGCACCACCTCTCTCTGGAGCTTCACTGTCCCGTCTGTTTTTGAAGCAGGGAAGTGAAGAAAACAGAAAATAATTTAGAAGATGAACTGTATTCAAGCAAAGTGTTTGCAAAAGCGACAATTAACGCTGGGTGTTTCATACTTTTCTGAGGTGGCATGAAATCCTTTGCATTGTCTTTACAGTAGTGAAGACAGCAGGACAAGATCACATCATCATTGTTACCCTGGGAGAAAAAAAGCAATCAGATTATAGAACAATAATAATTATGTAAGTAGTGATGTTTTATTAGCATTAGCAACTGTTTCTTGCTTTAAAAATACAAACAAAAAACTATTTAATGACACTTTTGTATAGTGAAGTTCCTACCGGTTGTCCAGAGGTGTCTTCACTGCGGAAGGCAATAGACTCGAGCTGGTTTCCTCGGCTCGTCAGGGCTCTTAGGCACTGTTCCTTGGCTTCAAATCCTTTCTCTAAGAAAGCCACTGCTAGCCGAGCCTTTTCCTGCACAGCTCGCATGTGGCCCACACTAACATTAAAGGTGCTACGGCTGCCGATGCTGCGTCCGGCTGACCCCACTCCTACTCCAAAAATGTCCTGACCTTTAGCCAAGCCATCCAACTCTGTGATCACTGGCAGAAAAAAAAACATCACAAGGTTACAAGAGTCTACTCCTTTCTTTAAGTGTCCTCATTTGAATAAATTAATCTCCTTTTTTTTCCTTACCAATGAGTGGTACAACTATTATGTAGGTTCCACATTGAAGGAGTTTCTTCAGGCCTTCCAAGTGATCAATGAAGCCATTGGTATCAGGGACCAGGAAGAGAGGCTTTACTTCCAGTTCCAGCTGCCCACCAGTTTGCAGCACGGCCTGGAACAAACACACAGCACTTAAATAAAGCTCAGCTTACCTACTGGATTCATATGTACATGAAAAATTGTAAGAGAAGACAGAAGTTTGCTAAATTTAACACAATCCCCAATTAAAATCAACTTTTGCCTTATTTTATTTTATTTATAACAAAATGCCCATTGGCTGTAAATCTAAATGCTTTTAATAATGTTGTCCGTTTCACCTGTATTTTGTCCCTGCGCTTCTGCTGCTGAGCGAGTTCATTAGCAAGCGCGTGGCGTCGTGCCTTCAGCTCTCTTATGTCATTCTCACTATCTCCCACCTCCTCAAAGTCCTCCTCTCCTTCTGATGCAGAGAGAGACGACACTGCCTCGATTATGACATCATCAGCCTGCAAACAGACACAGATGAGGAAGAAATGATGTAGAGGCCACATTCAACAACACAACTTTACCCTAATGGGAGAGAACAGTCACCTCCTTCTCTGTTAGAGAATCCTCCCTGCTCCTTGTGTCCGATTGTTGTGATGGAGGGCAAGTTGCAACAGAGATGTATTTTCCACCCTTGAAGGCTAGCAGAGGCTCTTCCTGTCCACACAAAGCCTCCAGAAAGTATTTCAGTACTGTCACTCTCTTACAATCTGCTGCTATCGCCTGAGGAAAGAGGATGAAGGTCATATGTACATGTACACACACATTGTGGGAGATTAAAAACATTCATTGTTACGACATAATACAAATGAAAGCAGTCTAAAGAAACAAACCTTTATGTTCCACTCACCATGTCAGTGTGTTTATCTGTGTAACACGGCTCCTGTGGTGCAGCCAACAGTGGTACAAAGCCAGCAAGCAGCTTGTCTTCCTTCAGCTGAAGCAATGTCAGCTCTTCATCTCCCTCAGCTTCATCACTATCAACTTTGTACAGAGGCACTTCCTCGTGGTCCACATGTGCCAGGACATTACACAAGTCAGCCAGGGCCTGCCAAACATTAGGACTGCACCTTGACAGTAAGAAATGAAAAAGTCACAATTTGCTCAAAACAAACCTTCAAGTGGCAAAAATAAGCAGCACCGATTTTAAGAACTCACTCTAAATTGCATGGAGGTGGGTTCCACTCGTCTGGATGTCCCAACATCCAGTCAGACCAGACTTTGATGCTTGGCAACATTTCCTTCAGGGGCAGTGGGAAGGCAGAAACTCTGACCATCCCCTCCAGCTCTTCTGTTTTACCATCCTCATCCCCGTCTGCCATGGGGACTTGCTCTAAAAAAGATGAGGAAAAAAAGAGAAACCTTTTCAAATTCATTCGCCAATCATTTATTGGTGAATGGCAACACAATGATTTGCACGTCCTTACTCTCTGCCTGCTCTGCCTCCCCTCCCTCTTGTACCGCCTTAACACACAAAACTTTCACACATTTTCACACAAGACAAAAACATTTTAACATCGAACTCTGCATCATTAAAAACACGGGTTATACACTCAACACACGCTCATGTGCTCATTCAATTTGCACTACTGTTTACATTTGCACTACTGTTCATATTCACACTACTGTTCATATTCATACCACTTTTCATATTCATACTACTGTTTACATTCACACTACTGTTTATATTCATACTGTTTACATTCACACTACTCTTTATATTCACACTACTGTTTACATTCACACTACTGTTTACATTCACACTACTGTTTACATTCGCACTACTGTTTACATTCGCACTACTGTTTACATTCGCACTACTGTTTACATTCGCACTACCGTTTACATTCGCACTACCGTTTACATTCG